GGTTGACCAGAAGTCGAAGGCTGGCCTCTTTGGAGGGCACACCAAGGCTGATCCTGAGAAGGAAGTCTTAGGGTATAAAGATGTATTGGGTCGTCGGGAAAGTCATGACACATTTTTGCATTGAAAAACGTAGAAAAATACGTCATGACTTTCCGGATGACCCAATAGTTGTTACCCTTGGCCCTCTTGCAGCTGAACTTGGTGCCTCAGATGACCTTTTAATACAAGTAGCACTCACAAGAAGGCTGTCCACATTTTCCACACCAAATGAGCTGGTGTGGAGACCACTGTCGGTTGACTTCAGACCTAAGAGACAGTTTCTTCTACCTTACAGCAACTCCTGCTTTCACTTGACCCATTTAATTTTGTTCTCTAAGAAGAATCAAGGTGGTAGGTACTTCAAAGGGAAAAGATAAAAAGGGAAGAATACCAACCCCACTTTTTTCCACCCTAAAAATACAATACACCCTAGAGTGTGAACCCGAAATCACTGTATCCTGAGGGGTCTGTGCTAAGTAGAGTTCTTCTCCATCTGACTGTTCACTCTGACACTCTTCTGCACTGACGGCCTTGCTACATGTGTGAGTTTTGCTCATTGTCCAATAAAAGCGACAGTGAAATGGAGATTTGACTCTAGAAACCCTGAGTAATTTATTCTTTTGCCTTTCTAATGCTTGCCTATTGGTCACTCTTGGATTTTATTTCTTCCACCCTTGGTTAAAAAGCATAACTGTAGGCCCCCTTTTTGTGTGACTCTAGCCTTATGAATGAGCCATGCAAATCCTGACCTCACCCTCTCTTTCCTCTGTCTTTGAACTCCCAACTTCCTTCCCAGAGCTTCCTTCATCTCTTCCCTTGTTCTCTGACATCCATGCCAGTGAGACCTTAAGAGCCTCAAGGTCAGAAAAACTTATCTTTATTTCCTTTATGCTTCAGGCCTCTGAAATATACAAAGTAATAGTGAATAAGTATCTGTTAAACTGAGTGGAATTTGTCAACTACAGAGCCTGGCCCTTTGAATCCCACCCTCTTCTACATCAGAGTCATCAGCCAACTTTGCCTGGCGCCCTGTGTGCTTGCCCTGAGCATTCTGTCCTTCTCAGAGTTCAGGGAGCCTGACTTTAGGTGATGTACCATTATTTTAACTGTATTATTTGTTATGAAGGACTTTTCGAGGGCCATCTAAGAGCCTAATCATTATTTAAAATAACATTAGCTAACATTTAATAAAAACTATGTGCCAAGCCCTGTGTTAAAGACAACTGTCTCAGTTAATTCTAAGATCAACCCTAAGAGATGAGTAATGATATTCCCTCTTTACAAATGAGTAGACTGAAGCTTGGAGAGGTTAAGTAATTGGAGGTCATAATGCTAATAGTGTGTTTCATTGATGGTAATGTACACGTTTTTTTCGTATTTTAAGACCTTTGCAGTGGATGTGCATCTTATGGTTGATGTGGGTTCCAGTCCCTGTTAGCCTGCAGGCAGCGGTTATGAGGGGGTGACCCTGTCTTTGCCGGTGTCAACCTGGATACAGTTGCTCATATTGTCATTACATCATTCACTTCATTTATATGCATCCTTGGTACTCTGTATCTTGAGTTTAGTTGCAAATAGGCGACATTTGAGCTAAGTGTGTTTGGTTTTTTCTCCTTAACTCTCTTATAAAGCACACTCTCAGCACAGAAGAAAAATCACTGTGAAAATCAGACAGTCCTTTTGACAGTAGTGGAATGTTGTTTGACATTAGTGTAGCAAATATTGATCACTGGGGGAATAACTGCAATTCCATATTTTCTCACAGAGCAACAATCAATTGCTCAGAAAGAAATATAAGCACAAAAAACTGAGTCTGTGTTTGTGTTTTGTTACTGAGATACATGCAGAGCAAAGGGATAACCTGTCACATGTGAAACAATGCAACTAGAGGCAGGAGACATTGCCACATTTTTGAATAGATCAAAGAAATAAAGTCACCAGAGGCTGCCTTGCAGTTGCATAGGTATCTCAGGACTGTTGTTAAGGCAGTGTGTCCTTGTTCAAATGCAAGTGTTTTTTGCCACTGGTAGTAAAATAATGATTCATCATAACAATCATTAAAGTCTTGGATTTGATGAAATCCTTTTAAGTGGCAGATCCAGTTTCAAATTCAAGTAGCCTAGCTCTGGAGAGTTCACCCATATCCACTACCTTCCAGGCTTTTTATCTGTACAGAAAAAAACCAAACACACAAAAAAACATTTGCTGGATGTAAAGGGGTTTACATCTCAATTTTTCGAACATAGCTTGATTGATAGTGAGATGATGGTGTCTTTACTGACTGCTTAGTGTCGTATTTAAAGTAGCATCTTTCCCAACTTGCAATGCCTCATGACTTGAATTTAAATCTATTTTAAGTTAGCTACATCACAATTGATCAGACAGCAAATTGTACTGTGTTTCATTACTTGAATGCCCAACAGGGAATTCACGAAATGCTTCCTATCATCAAGATAATTAAAACTATTGGGGTTGGTGGAGGTACAGTGACTAGTCCCCCTCGCCCTACTCTAGTTCAAAGCTAACTGTAAGATCAACACAGGTGTCAGGGAAATGGGGATTAAAACATTAGAATCATGAAAAATATTCGATCAGAAGACACACTATAGATGGATGTCCATGGTAGGATTGCTAATAGTTGATCCCTGGATTTTTCAGACTTTCCACCTGGCACGGTGCCACATCCCAACAGCTGAAGGAGGGGGCCTTACTACATAGTGGGGAGCTGATCAAAAAGCATGTATTTTGAAAACAGGCTTATTTTAAAAAGAGAAAGAGGAAAATGACTGAGTAAAACACATTTGTTTCCTCCTCCGTCACACACACTCATCACTTCACTAGGGGAGGGTTAAATGAGAGATGGGGAGAGACCACCCAAGAGTTCATGCTAGTGGGAACGCCTTCTCTTGGAGGGAAGCAGGAGGCCACAAGAAAGGAGGTCCTCCCTTCATAGTCATAAGCACTACTATTAACACCACTAGACATAGATTTCTGAGTTTTAGTGTTTCTCTCATTCTAGCTCAGGTCTGAATCACTTGGTTTGGCTAAACAGGGTTGGTTGGTGGTGAGGTTGCATTTAATTTGAACATGACACCATCATGTTGCTTTACAGTCACTTTTCACAATTTTCGTTTAGTTGAATCATACCCACAGGTGTCTTTGCCTCGTTGCCTTTCACTTTATTTAAGATATGCAAGAACAATCTGAGGCTGCTGTTCCATCCTACGGAACAGTCTACTCAGGAAAACCCTGAGAGTTCCCATGTGGAGGTTTTTCTCCTCAGTGGTTTTGATAGAAGATTAGGTCAATCCTCTGAAGCATGGCAAATATCTGTGTATTTTACAAAGGCCCGTATGCGTATGTTTATCAACCTGTGGGTCTGAGTATCTCTAGCAGATTTTCATCATGGTGATGTAAATTGCTGTATTCTGTCTAACCTTTTATTTTCAAATGATCTGTGATAAACCCTAGTTTCTTTATGATGGTATTCAGGTGTTGATTAAAAATATATAATTGCCTCCTCACAGGTAGTATTTTAACGGATGCATTTATCTATTTTGCATATGTTTTTATTTTTCTACATTTGTCTAACTAGTGTCTTCTTTTCTAACATAGTGCTGAAAACATAGTAAGTCCACAATAAAGGCCTATCAATTTGTTAATTCCAGCGTGATCTCAGAAGAAACAGTGGGCTTTCAGATTATAGCTCAGTTTGTTTTTATTGCTTTATTCTGAACACTAAGCTGGTGAAAGTTGACTACCATCTACAAGATAAACAATTTGTACTGAAAATGAACTTAGTCCTGGTATTCCTTTACCTATGGAAAATAAAAACTGTGCAATCTTCTTGTAATTACTCTTAATTTTCAACTCTATATAGTATATTTAGTCACTAACTTGGTGGGGGTGAGGAGGGGCCCCTTGGGGAATAATTGGAGGAAAATGTCGTGCCCTGACCTCATTGTAGGGCAGGTATATGACTTACACCCCACTGAGGGGGCATCCTTTTGGAGACTGTGAGAACCAGAAGATGCTTGACTTGGTGTGAGCAGGTGGGAGTCACGCCACAGATCACAGATGAGAGTCTTTGGAGCTGCCTTGGCCTTGCTCCATTCCACCAAAATTCCATTTTCACTGTGGCTAGTCTCCTTGCTCCTTTCCTTCCTCACCTAAATGTGTCACTGCACATGTCACCTTTCCTGATGACCCCTCTCCACCTCTCTCTTCAATTCCATGTCCTCCTCTTTGGTGGCTCTAGAACAGGGGTCAGCAAACTGCAGCTTGCGAGCCACATGCGGCTTTTTGGGTACGTTCCGTCTCAAAGGTTTGCCGACCCCTGGAAGAGCCAATCCTGTCCCTCACAACAATTTAGAAACTATTCGAGAGCCATAAATATATTTTTACATAATCACCATTATGTGAATAATATCCTTTAAAAATTTTATAAATGAAGCTATGGTAGTTTTATTTTCATTTTCAATTTTACTTCAGAGCCACAGTTTGCAAGCCATAGTTTGCTGACCCCTGGCGGCTCTTCCGTCTCAAAAGTTTGCCGACCCTTGGTCTAGAACATGAACATTTCTCTCCTCTACAACCCCTGTGAATGTTCATTTGTCTGCACCGCACAACTGCTCTTTTAGATGCTTCGCTTTATTCGCCATTTCATGGAGGCATGGATTTGAGCTCAGGCTTTGCCAGAAACTAGCCAAATGACCTCATGCAAGTTCATGTGTGTTATCTCCGTGGCCCCCAGTTTTCTCACCTGGGAAATGGTCTCCCAGGACACTTCACATTGTAGAATCTGTGTTGATGCAAGCAGAGGTAGTGATACAGCTTGGTGGGGTTCGGGTAGATGTGCGTTTCCACTTGCTGTGATCTCCCTGCCACAGAGGTGGGTCTTCAGCCTGGTTCATGTCTACTTTGAGCCCTCCTCTCCTCTAACTTCCACTATTCTTTTTCAGGGCTGGGAGCGGGTTCTGCCCTCCTTCATCCAGACAGCAGATCGCATCTTAGGTCCTTAGAAAAAAGTTCCTGGAGGGCGTTCAAGGAATCACAATGTCATCATATGCTCAAACACCTCCACAATGGTGCAAGGATCACTGTGCAGATGCCACCAGCGATCGAGGGCCACTGGGTTTCTACTGGGTAAGAGGGCCAGCCAGGAGGGGTACAGGGAGGGACCCGGGAGCACACTTCTATGGAAGGCCCTTCTTAGGGTTTCTCAGATACATAGAGACTATATAATGTAGAATGATTTAGGTGTTGTCTAAATTCTAACTAAGAGCCAAACAGTGTTTTGAAACTCTTGATAGGTGAGAAACAGAGTGAAGTACTGTAGAAATCTTAGCTAAAGTATAGATGATATTGTACCACTGCTAACCACAGGGTGTGAGTGAATAGGTCCCTCTGTGGGACCACTTGTGTATAAAAAGAAACCATTAGCAAGTGAAATTAGGAGTCTGTGTTTCCCCAACCCTGAAACATGACTTGCAAGCTTCTGATGGTCTAAATATTCCAGCCGTATTCTGGTAATTTAATATATGGCTTCAGGGTTCTAAGAGTAAGTTAAAAGGTACTCATGCTACCTCTACTAGCCAGGGCATAGTTCTTGGATTCTTTTCCAGGCTGTGGAGCTGAGATTTATTCCAGTTTGAGCTCTGGCTTATCTTCCATTAGAGCTTTTAAAAATAGCCTAGAGGCAGACCTGCAATTTTTCTCCTACCCATTAAATTGTTGAGAATTAGCAAGGCTAACTCTGGAATCTAATCACTTCTCCCCTGCAGCCACTGGGTACCTTGGTGAGGGATCAAATAAATACGTAGAAGAAGAAAAAGGAATGTCATAAGATGATGAAGACCCAGAGGGTTTTTTTTTCCTTTTTTTTTCCTGTAAAAATAGCGTTTCTCAAAATAAATACATGATAAATATTTGTACAAACAATCTTAATGTGATGTACTTTTAAACAATTTATTATTTTATTTAACAAATATGTATTGAGTGCACAAACATTTACTGTGTGCCAAGCATTATTCTAGATTTTGTGTTTATATCAGTGAACAAAATAGACATGGTCCCTGTCTTCAGGAATTTTATAAATAAATATACAAAGAAGTACTACGATGAGGGAAAAACAAAAGGTGCTACAAGAGAATACCAGGGGCCCAAGCTTAGGATGGGGGTAGGGTCAGGAAATGCTAGCAAAGAAGAGGACACTTGAGTTGAGATGTGGTTGGTTATGCAAAGACTGGGAGAAGAGCTTTCTATGTGGAAGAACTAGCAAAGGCTAGGTTGGAGAAAGCACTGACGCAGAGCGCTTGTAGCCTAAGCATAGTAAACCAGGGAGAACAACCCCAAATGAGGCTGCTGAGGAAGGTGGGGCCAGCTCCCAGGGCACCTTGCAGGCCAGGAGTTTAGCATTTAATTTTAATCTAAGAGCATTGGGAAGTCATTGAAGAGTTTTCAACAAGGGCCATGCTTAAGACATGATTCAACTCTGGCATTCTGGCTGCTGTGTGGCAAATGTGATTTGGGAATGACCAATTAAAAGATTTGCAACAGTTTCCACTGGAGATGAAGGAAGCTTAGGTAAGGATGGTGGCGGGGCCAACAGAGAAGAGAATTAACTTGAGATATGCTGAGCTCTGGAGGCCAAATCAGTAGATCATCAATACTTAGATAAAATATTAAAAATAAGTGATCATCTTCGCTAAACCTCAAGGGACATTAATCACTGCTCACATTAAACTCCTCCGTGGGGGAGAAATCTTGGGTCTTTTCTCACACCTGATGATATATGCTCAGAGTACTGCTGAGAGTTTTATGTTCATATGGTGTTATTTGACATCAATTGACAATATTTACTTAGTGAAAGATACCCACTTCAAAACAGTGTTTATCTTTTACCAGTTTGTTAGCCAAAAAAATAGAAATGTTAGCACTTTTGAGAATCACTGGACTTTGGGATTTCAGCCCCACTGTTTAATTTGGGAAAATTGATTGAGTCAGTTCAAACCAGAATTATTGTGTATAATATATACATATATAATACATAATGCATCATATATAATATATAATATCTGTATTATAGAGATGAGCAGAGTTATAAGGCCACACCAGAATATATACAATACATAATATATACAATATAATTATATATACAGAGGTGCCATACATATTTTAAGAAAGGAAAAAACTGTGTTAAAATTATAATACTCAATATATACCAAAAGATGAAGTCAAGTTTGAATTCTGCAATTACAAGAGGTGCTCAAAGTGGTTACCGTCAGTGTAATTTTAATACAGTTTTTTCCTTTCTTAAAACATGTATACATTTTTTTGGTACCCTGTGTGTGTGTGTGTGTGTGTGTGTATACATATATATGACATGAACAGAGTTACAAGGCCAAAATTGATGACATAAAAGTCATGATGTAATTAGACTAGGGCCTAGCAAAAGGCTACTGACAGATGAATCCTTTGGCCAACACTGAAGAAAACCTCCACCATTGGCCTCTTGTGGATTGTGCTGTGTGTATATGAATTGATTACAATTAAAGCAGTGTGAGGAACAAACCTAAGTTAAAGCCTTCTGAGTCATTTGTGCTCTGTAGACCTAGTCCAAGTATTTCTGGCTTAGGAATCTAGTATTTATCTAATTTTTGCCACAGCAAAAAAATCATTTTGTCATTGTCATCAACAGCACAAAATAAAAGGAACCCTTATTTATCTTGTTACGTTAGCTTTATTTCACTAATTGCCACTTTATTTTTCTGCTAGAGGGAAAATTAATTTTGACTGGATGGGAGGGTGAATTTCTGATTGCCTGTGTGATGCTTCCCCAATATTAGATTCCATTTCAGCATGATGGACATCTAGCACCTGCCTGTTCTAGACAAGGTCCATAAAACAGAAGTGGTCAGGAAATCAACCATTTCTGAACTAGCATAAATATACTCTTCTTCCTTCTTCCCACCAGAAAGGAAGAAATTTCTCTGTAAGTTAGGCCCATGGATGAAGCTGAGGATTGCAGGTTTCTGCTTTCCTGGCTTGTTCTTAACGTGAATGAAAGGCTTTCTGGTGTAATCTATTAGGCTCACAGGCTCTGGAGCCAGACTGTTCTGGTTCATGGTCAGGCTTTGATGCTGGTTGATTGTATGACCATTGCCACGTTTTCTAATCTCTTGTGCCTCTGTTTCCCCATCTGTAAAATAATGGACAATAGAAATACCTACCTAACTCATATGTTGTTGTGAAGATTCGGTTAACTGGTATCTATTCAGGACTTAGAACAGTGTAAGCGTTTTGTTAGTATTACTGTAATTTCTTAACACTGTAATGAATCTCTTCCTTATGCCTTTGGGCTTAAAAAAAATCTTCCTTCCCCCTTTCTTCTTCAGCTGTGAAGTGAGGTCAGGCCCAGAGTTCATCACAAGGTCTTATAGATTCTACCACAATAATACCTTCAAGGCCTACCAGTTCTATTATGCTGGCAACCGCTGCACAAGCCCCACCTACACCCTCATCATCCGGGGCAAGATCCGCCTGCGCCAGGCCTCCTGGATCATCCGTGGGGGCACAGAAGCCGACTACCAGCTGCACAACGTCCAGGTCATCTGCCACACGGAGGTGGTTGCCGAGAAGCTGAGCCAGCTGGTGAACCGCACGTGCCCCGGCTTCGTCCCTGCCGGTGGTGCCTGGGTACAGGATATGCCCTATGACCTCTGGCGGGAGGAGGATGGCTGTGAGTGCACCAGGGCCGTGAACTTCGCCATGCATGAGCTGCAGCTCCTCCGGGTGGAAAAGCAGTACCTGCAGCACCACCTGGACCGCCTGGTGGAGGAACTCTTCCTCGGTGATATCCACACCGATGCCTCCCAGAGGACTTTCTACCGGCCGTCCAGTTACCAGCCTCCCCTGCAGAATGCCAAGGTACCCTGTAGCTGACTGCTGAAACCTCTTTGTTAAGGAACATGAGGGACCTAAAGGCCTGTTGTGTCAATGGGGTTAAAAGGAAACCATGAGAATGAGAGTTGAGTCATGGAGGGACTGCTGGGAGGTGGGAGGAATCCCAGAGGACTTCTGGGGTAGGGACACATAGCCAGAGTCAGGAGACCTGGGTTGGCCACCAACTTGCTCTGTGATGGGGGGGGGACCCCGATTTTCCTATATGACGTGGGTGTTGGTAGTGGAGTTGATGGTATAGTAGGGGCTCCAGTGGTTGGTTGTCCTAGAAAATTCCTAAGGTTCCTTTCAGCTCTAACGCTCTAGGGATCTCTTCTGTGGTTCTAAGAGGAAAGCATGAGGAAATACGGAGATGTTCTAACCACACTTGGGAAATACATGCAAGCACAGCAGTGATCCCAGCCCTAGATGAGGTGGGGAGGCACTGAAGGGGAAAGCGACAGTGCTGTTTGCATAGGGCTGTAGACTCCATGAATGTCTCCCACCCACATTATTCCTTTCAGTCTTCACAATGACCCTCTGAGGCAGATATTACCAGCCTCTTAGGCGGAAGAGGCAGCTACGGTTCAAGGCTACTCCTGCCCAAGGTTACCTGGTTAGTTTCAGTGCCAGAACTTGTACCCAAGTCTCTTTCTCTAGACCCCACATTTTGCTAAATGAAATGTAAAGTCACTGTGATCAGAAGGGAGGATGGAGGGGGGCAGGAAACAATTAAAACCTTATAATGTTCTTTTCTTGAATGATAGTCCAATAATCGCATTTGGAATTCACAAAGCATTTCCTTCCCAGAGGCCCAGAATTTGTGTCAACATGTAATGCAGTCGCTTCCACTGCAGCAGTTAGGGAACTCGGGACAGGGAGGGTATGTGGGGCTCTCAGCATGAGGAGCCAGGGTGGCAGGCACTTTTCTCTAGAGTGGCTCCCCACCATCAGATTGGCTTTTCTGCAATACTCTCTAGAACAGCAATTCGAATTACCAGGCCCTATTTGACTTGTTTGGCGGTTTATTAATTTTTTAAAAATCTTTTTTCTTCTTTTTTGTTTTTGTTTGTTTGTTTATTTTAGCTGAGCCATCCTGCCACCTGTTGGCAGCTCAGCGGCCTCTCAGCTTGGGCCGGGACTTGAGCTGCTGTTGCTCAGAGCTCGCACTCTTGAGCGAGCTCTTAACCAACTGAGCCACTCGGCCGGCCCTCTTTTTTTCTTCTTAGTCCTTTGAGCGCATTCATGACTGGTGGAGAGATCACAGAGTATTTCCCCTGCCAAAGACCGCTCAGTGTTATCTTCTTTTTATCTGTGTTATTGTGACCTCATGTAATGAAAAATCACTCTTATAATTGTCCCACTATAATTGTGGGAAATCTGCTGAGGAAGCCTGCTTGGCGGAGGCTGCTTCCTCTGGACATGGTGGGTCAGGGATGGTCTTGTGTGTGAGGTGAGACTGACTGAGGGTTGAAGGCCCTAGACCCGGCGCTCCTGGGCTCCCTGCACTCGGGTGGCTCAACAGCATGGCTCAGAATGCTACTGGGTATAGTTCTAGTGGAGAACAGGAGCCGGGTCCTCTATACTCAGAGGTGCTGAGGAGGAAAAGCTGAGTTAGGTCAGTGAGCAGGAGGGCGCTGTTCATGCCTGCTTCCGGACATCGTTTTGGGGTGGGTGAGGTGGGGGAGCCAAAGCTCTGCCGGTTCTACACATTGATGCAAAGGCATCAAGAGGAGAAGCTTCCACAGAGTGGCACCAGGCAAGGGCTGGGTTTCTGGAAAAACTGAGAGTAGTAATGCGCTTCTAGTTCCATCGTGGGACCTTTCCAGTTGGTAGTGTTATTCAGAGTCCACGTTGAATGCTGCAGCTGAGTAGCACTTCTCTTAAAATCTCTGGTGTGTGATAGCAGTGGGGGAAAGGGGATTTTCATATGTACATTTGGCTTCCTCTGAGTACAGTCTAGCCAACTTTTAAATTATCTCTGGTGATGGGAGTTAAGAATGTCATGAATAAAAATGGTCCACAGATAATCCAGAAAACTCATGTGAGCCAAGAGCACCAACCCCTGTCTCACCCTGAACCTTTATGAAGATGTCATAAGCCAGCAGAGTCCTTTTTATTCCTGCTCACCCTGCAGGGGAGACATTAATGAGTAGCAAAACAGTGAGGCAAGGGGCTGAGGAAGAAGGAAGGAAAAAGGAGGCTGAGTTGCTCCAGAAGGAGGCAGGGTATAGCTCTGGAACCTGGGCTGCAGTCAGAACCCCTCTCTCCTGCTCCGTACCGGACCTTGAGCTGGTCGTTTGCACACACTCAAGTTCCGATTATGTTTCCTCACCTGCAGATGCCCATGTAGGCTCTTTGATTTCTTAAGCTCTTTTTAGGGCTCTAAAAAAACTATTAACTATAACCATTTTCTTATCCTTGTCTCCTGTCCCTCAAACTCACTGTTGTATTTCTAGTGGCATGGCTCTTCAGAAAGTCCAAAAGGTAAAATCAACATTCCTAAGACTTGTAGCTCCAGATGAGTCTCTCTGACTCCCTCCCCTGGTTCTGTAGGAGGGAGTTCTCCTTCTGGTCAGCATTCCGCACTAAACAGAGCCTGTCTATTGGGAGAGCAAAGGCATACTGTTGTGGCTCCAGCAGGAAAACTGTCTTGGAAGTGAGTTATTAACATTGGCGTGGAGATTAAGGATGAGAGTTGTAAGGCTGATCTTCTTAGAATTTTTATAAACAAAAAAGCTGAAGAGGTTCTTTTTTTTTTTTTTTAACACTGTCTGGATAAATTGGCAAGAATATAGACTTGGAGATGGTAGTCCATCCTGGAATCCAGTTCTCCTGTGGTCATCAGCTGTGGGGCATTGGTAGTGTTATCTGGCCTCTTGGAGCCTTAGGTTTTCTTTTCTATAAAATGGTAAAAATAGAAGAATTGGTTGGGTTAATGTGCAGAATGCTGTCTGCATCTAGAAAGGGCCTGTCCCCAAAGCTCCCTTCTCCCCTGTCCTAGAGTAAGTAACCCTTCTGGGCCTATGGCTCCCAGAGGAATAAGAATGACAGTTGACATCAAAGTATTTACTGATGCCTAGCTATAAAACGTTTCCTCCCATTTTCTCCTCCTTCCCCTACTAAGGCAACTGTGGAAACATTTACCCAGTTGAAGAAGTAAACTCTTTAAATCCTAGGCCTGATTCCTTCATTCAAGAAATATTAAAGGTAGAAAAAGAATCTTAGAGAGACTCTTAGGTAGAAAAATGGATCTTAGATATTACTGTTAAAAAAAAAAAGGAAGGTATAGAATAGCATGAAAAGTATGATACCATTGTGTAAAACTAATCATAAAAGAAGCGGATAAGCTTACAAAGGAATCCATATTTCTGGAAGGGTACATAGGAAACATGATGATTGCCTCTGAGGAAGGGGACTGAGTAGCTCGGGGACAGTCAGACAAAGACTTGTCACTGTATACCCTTTTGTACCTTTTCCAATGTGTGCCATGATCTTATATTACCTAAATACAATCACCACACAAAATTAAAATAAATTTTAAAAAGCTAGGACTCCAAGGCTCAAAGGAGTGCTGCAGCCACAGATGAAGATGGCAGCAGGGCGAGGAGGAGGACGCAGGCAGGCATCCAAGGCTGGGCATGTGCTCTCCACCACCTGGACTGCCGGCTGGGGTGGCTGAGGGGGCCTTTCGAAGGCCAGGCCCTGAGGTCTGCATGGCTCTGGGAGCTGAAAGGGCCCATTCTTCTCTTGTTGTCCCAGGCATTGTACACCTTGGCCTGCAGTGTGCAGCAGAGTCTTCAGGAAGTTTTTTAGATCCTTCCGTAGGACAGCTATGAGAAGGAATAAATGGACTTGGCCCTTGGTGCCTTTCCAGACACTCAATGCAAAGCCTCAGATGCTCCTTGCCCGCTGGGCCAACGGGAAGGAGTGGGGGCTGGGAGCTCATCCCAAAAGACCACATGCCCCTGCCACCCTCTTTGAACTCCTTGCCTTCCCTAATTGTCAGTCCATAGAGACCTGGCTGAAAATTAGTTTAAATGCTAAATTGAGTTTGAAACCACTAGTGTCCGCCCCTCTGGAAATGGGACACCATGTAAAAATAGAAACTTTAAATCATCTTGTTTTTCTAAGCTTTATACAGCTTTGCTGTGAGGTTCAGATCCTTTGGCAAATAAATTATGTTTGAAGGAAATCAGGTGTGCTGGGAGGATTCTTTCAGGATGAAATTGGCTACTCTTCATTTTAAAAAAGTCAAGGCCACCTAAAATGACCTTGAAAAAAGATGCTTTGCCTACATTGAGTTTAACATTCGGGCAGCCATTATTCTCTGCCTAGATTCTTGTGCACTTGGAGGGTTAGCGAGGCGCGTTTTTTCCCGTGGTAGAATCAAATAGTAATTAAAAGCAAATGATTGCCGGGATCGTTGGCAACACCAAAGCCTCAGGATCAGACTTGTTAGCAAATGGAATTGGTCTTTCTCCAAAATCCTGCACTGATTTAGCCACAGGGTCATAAATCAAAGGGTTTGTCAGAAAACCAGACAATTTTCCTCAAGCCCTGTATCTTAAATATTCTGCCCCAGCATGCTTACAGCAGTGGGGCTGCACATTGGAGGAAGAAAAGCACCAAATGTTTTTAAGAGAAGCTGGGTACTAAAATGCAATAGGAATTACTTGTGCGCTTTCTCTCTTGAATTCTGTAGGAACTTACAGACTGTTAACGAATGAGCATTTGTTTCTGAGGGATCTTGTCTTTCCAAGTCTTTTCAGAGTATGTGAAAAACACTGTGAGACTTTCTGGTATCTGTGACATCAGAACGACTTTGGACCAGGTGGCCATGTGCAGCATTAAGGAAGACTCCTAAGAAAAACGGTGATCCTGTTGCTGGGGCTGGGCGTTTTAACTGTTAGGCAGCAAGTGTTGCTTGTTATATGAAATTGGGGTTGGATGATGGGGTCTTGACTCTGAAAGGCTTGCTTGTGTGG